TGTGTGTGTGTGTGTGTGTGTGTGTGTGTGTGTGTGTGTGTGTGTGTGTGTGTGTGTGAGTGTGTGTGTGTGTGTGTGTGTGTGTGTGTGAGTGTGTGTGTGTGTGTGTGTGTGTGTTTGTGTGTGTGTGTGAGTGTGTGTGTGTGTGTGTGTGTGTGTTTGTGTGTGTGTGTGAGTGTGTGTGTGTGTGTGTGTGTGTGTGTCTGTGAGTGTGAGTGTGTGTGTCTGAGTGTGAGTGTGTGTGTGTGTGAAAAAGAGAGAGAAAAGAAAGACATAATAAAAATAAAAGAATGCAGTTAAACTCATGTAGTTCCTCAGAATGTTTGCTCAGTGTTGTTGATGCAGTGGGTGAGGTGAACATTCAGAAAATCATTTAGCATGTTAGTTACTTTACTGTGTTGTAGCTGAAGTGTGTTATCGCAGCGAATTGCTCCCAACATTAAAATAATACAACATACAATGCAATTTTGTAATGTGTTAATAGCAGCCATCTCAGTTAGACATAAATATTATTGCGTAAATAAAATCTTGGGTTGTTTGAGCACAATATCAGGTCCAGTTCACTTTCATAAAATACAATTTAATGCTATTTTATTGAAATAAAATGAGCTTGAATTGCTTGGCCGCTTTATTTTACACATGCATGTTTAACTTCTATGCAACTTCCATGAATTGTTTCAGACATCCTTCAGCTTCCTGTTCCTAAAATGTGCTGACAAACTATTATAAATACATTTTTCTGAAAAGCAGGGCAATTATTAAACCGCTGGCATGACGGGGTCACAGATTAAAGTTCACCAAGTTAAGCAAACATGTTTTTTTAGGCGGTGCACAGTCCCTTTTTGTGTGACAGTCCCTGAACGAAGGGCTCTGTTTATGTCACGTGCTCGGGGGATGGTGAATATTAATGAGGCACGCTGACGTGATTGGCTGACTGTGGTGAGTGGGCGTGACTAAGCAAGGTGAAAGAACGAATCCCGCTCTGGTGAAGGTTGGGCTTATGATTGTTAATTAGGTCACATGACTGTCGCTCCAGGAAGGTAACGTTAGCGTGCTCATGAATATTCATAAGGCGAGCCTTTGCTACAGTGTGTCGCTCGATGGCGGGATGTGTGTGATCTAAATGGCTGCAGGAGCAGATTCTTGTTTTCTGGGGTTCGATTTCAGCACGCAACAGGTAAATAAATGCTCATAGCAGTGAGAGATATTGTTCTGGGAAAACTGTATGATAGAGTACGCTTAGAAACAGTACTATAGTGGTAGCCTACTATTATCTCTTCATTGTGTTGTGCTGCAGTAGATGAACACAAGCTCATTAAACACAACATCACACGATTACATACAAATGTAAATCATGACAATGCATTTGTAAAAGTTCCCTGCTTTTAAAAAAGACTTATTTAAGGCGTATAGGGGAGACTGGGGCTAGTTGTCACAGAGTGAGTATCTCAGTTATGATAAATAATGTCCAATAAATAACTATAAACCACACTGACAATTAGAACAAGAGTCAGTTACTGTATATAATGAAGACTGGACTGAAGTTGAACTCAAGACTAGAATATTTAAAAATAGAATAGACTAAAATATCAAGGCGGGGCAAGTTGTCACATGTTGACTTTGATGTTATATTTTATGAATTTTGCTAAATTTTTTCCTAGGGTAATAATAGTAGAAATGCTCATTATTTTTATTTGTACCATGGTTATTTTAGTATGAAAGATGCTATTATAGTTTTTATTAATATTTATTAATATTAACATTTTAATTTTAATTACAAATTTTAGCGTTGGAGTGAGATGGTAATATCTGATATATGCCATGATTCTTCTGATTGATTTGTTTACCATGATATTTACACAATAGTTCAAAAAACGTTATAGGAATATGGTTTTAAGATGTTTCTGACATGCTTCCAAAAAATGTCCAGTGTTTTCTGTTAGATCTAATATTGTCACAAGTCACATTAAAAGTTGATCATGTTTTATTTTAGTTCTCTCTGTCTCTGTGTGAAGCATCAATAATAAGATTAGCTGGCTTTTCAATGAGCTGTGGTCTTCTCTAATCTTCAATATGTGTCTTTGTATCAACACATTCACCATTGAGATGCATTACCTAGTGCTCAAAAATAGGTATAAAAAAAAAAAAGTCATACATTTTTGTGGGCTCTTGGACACACACTTTTTAAAAATTTAATTAATAGCATAAAACTTGGGGTCAGTTCTCAGGGAATTATAAAATGTGAACTAGAGCCCGACCGATATGGATTTTTTTTGGGCCGATACCGATATTAGGGAGTAAAAAGGGCCGATATCGATATATCGGCCGATATTCTGTGTGTATATTATAGTACAGTACCAGTCAAAAGTTTGGACACTTTCCCATTCGTGCGTCCAAACATTTGACTGGAAGTATATATAGAATATATATATATACATAAACACATTTTTTGCAATGATCACTCAGATGTGGTGATGAAACACTTATAAAGACGTGACAGAGATACGTAATGGAGGCAGGGCATTTAACAATTTAACAATAAACTTTATTACCAAAATGAGTCTGATATCAGTGCACTGAACAGTAAAGCAGTAAAGTTTTCAACTTGATTGTAATTCCATTCAACTTTATTCCGTTGAAGTTTTTCACTTCGGAACATTCATTCACAGATTCACAGATCTGTCTTCACACACAGACGAAACTTACTAGAGAAATAACCTCTGTAAATAAATACAATTTAAATTCACGTCTCGCACACTTTAATGCCATTTGAATGTAACGTGTGTGTTCCCTTGGAACTGGAATCATGGTGGAATTTCATGTGAAGTCCACTTCGCAGGGCACTTACGGTCGAATAAGACAACGCTTGAATGCTGCCTGAACAAGTCCTTACTGAAGGGAAAGTGTTGGCTGGTGTCACTATCTCGCGAACGTGCCGGCGGATCTCCACCAAATTCGGGGATCCCTTCAGCTCGAGGAGCCCTCTCGAACGCCACCCTCCGCGCGTGGGTAGCCCCCCGGGATCGCTAGATCGGTCGGCGCCGGACCGCGAATTTAACCACCCGTAACTCCCGAACCTCTGGGGCTATCCACGCGGAGGTGGTCTCATTCGAAAGAGGGCCTCGAGACGTACACTCAATTCGCGTTCGCGAGGGTTCCTCGAGCTGAAGGGATCCCCCGAATTTGGAGCGCGCTCTGCTGGACAAACTAAGTAATTACACCATTTCAAGCATTTTATCTGCATGATATGTTCTGTAAAAAAAAATTTTCATATCAGCGGCGTATTAGCCGATACCGATATATCGGCCGATAATATCGGCAAAACGATATATCGGTCAGGCTCTAGTTAGAATGATTTCTGAATTTTCTGTATTTCTGGTCAAATAAATGCAGCCTTGATGAGCAGAAGAGACTTTTTAAAAAACATTACAAATCTTACTGATCCCAAACTTTTGAACAGCAGTGTCTATATATATATTAACATTTACGTTTCAGGAAAGCCATTTTCGTCAAATTATTTGTATATATATTGGTTCAGGGCGTTGCTATGAGTAGTTGTATAGTATTTACATGGTACTTGAAAGGATATCGAAGTAAAAACATGGTAATTTTTGTTTGTAAACCACTTGAATTTGTAATAAAACATGCTTATTTTGAATTAGTTCATACCTGTATGCATTATTAAATGGCTGCAGGAGCAGATTCTTGTTTTCTGGGGTTCGATTTCAGCACGCAACAGGTAAATAAATGCTCATATCAGTGAGAGATATTGTTCTGGGAAAACTGTATGATAGAGTACGCTTAGAAACAGTACTATAGTGGTAGCCTACTATTATCTCTTCATTGTGTTGTGCTGCAGTAGATGAACACAAGCTCATTAAACACAACATCACACGATTACATACAAATGTAAATCATGACAATGCATTTGTAAAAGTTCCCTGCTTTAAAAAAAGACTTATTTAAGGCGTATAGGGGAGACTGGGGCTAGTTGTCACAGAGTCAGTATCTCAGTTATGATAAATAATGTCCAATAAATAACTATAAACCACACTGACAATTAGAACAAGAGTCAGCTACTGTATATAATGAAGACTGGACTGAAGTTGAACTCAAGACTAGAATATTTTACATAAATATCAAGGCGGGGCAAGTTGTCACATGTTGACTTTGATGTTATATTTTATGAATTTTGCTAAATTTTTTTCCTAGGGTTATAATAGTAGAAATGCTCATTATTTTTATTTGTAGCATGGTTATTTTAGTATGAAAGAGATGCTATTATAGTTTTTATTAATATTTTGAATTCATTTTTATTTGCATTTTAATTTTAGTTACAAATTTTAGCGTTGGAGTGAGATGGTAATATCTGATATATGCCATGATTCTTCTGATTGATTTGTTTACCATGATATTTACACAATAGTTCAAAAAACGTTATAGGAATATGGTTTTAAGATGTTTCTGACATGCTTCCAAAAAATGTCCAGTGTTTTCTGTTAGATCTAATATAGTCACAAGTCACATTAAAAGTTGATCATGTTTTATTTTAGTTCTCTCTGTCTCTGTGTGAAGCATCAATAATAAGATTAGCTGGCTTTTCAATGAGCTGTGGTCTTCTCTAATCTTCAATATGTGTCTTTGTATCAACACATTCACCATTGAGATGCATTACCTAGTGCTCAAAAATAGGTATAAAAAAAAAAAAGACATACATTTTTTTGGGGGCTTTGGGACACACATTTTTAAAAATTA